AAAAAAAAAAAAAAAAAAAAAAAACGTTGAAGGGTGTGTAAATTTGTGACAATCATACCCCTGCCGGGATTGTAATTTATCAAAAGAGAACGATATCTGCAAAAATTATTTTGCACTCTCTCTTTCTTCCACCCCCGTCCAATTAGCTCATATGTCTAACACTGCTGAAATTTAAGATGATTGCATTTATTTTTCAGCTTTGGAAACAGAAGAGGAACGGGGGAACTCAAGGTACTCAGCAAGTCACATGGTTCACAATCGGTTGGATATAGAAATTGAATCTGTAATAAACCCAAATAAGCTCTCGGTAGAGCTTATCAAGTGCTTGATGGGCATATTCCTCAAATTGAACCAAACATACAAGAGCAAGAGAACTACTAACCTTACAAAACATACTCTGACCTGCATAAACTCGAAAGGGTTGGTATGCAAAGCAGCATTCAGCTGCACAATGCCCGTTTTCCCATTCGTTTGTGACGCATACCATCTTGATCCTTATGCAATATTGCCTGAACCTGACATAAACATCAGAGACATTGGGGCGTACAAAAATTTCATACAGATCACAAGAAATACACTTGATGTAAGCCGACTTTCTGAATGTCTGCCAGACATAAGGAGACTGAGGTAAGATCCTGCATTCTTTTAGCTACTTTCACATAAAACAACTTTGATAGTTTTTTCATTCCAGGGTGTTGATGCAGAAACTGAAGAGAATAAATATAAATTACTTCACCCACAAGCAAAAGTTGGCATTTTGGATCAATGTCTACAATGCCTCAGTAATGAACGTATTGAAGACATCTTAAATCATTTTTTTTTTTTTTTTTTCCCGCAAAACAGACTTAGCAGTGTCTAAATAATTTCCTCCATTCATAGGCATTTCTGCAACATGGACTGCCTTCCACAGAGGAGAAGCTGCTCGCGCTCATGAATGAGGTACCATCCGGTGTTGTGCTCTATTGGTATTCAGCATTCATAGAAATATACTGGTAGAACATACACTGCGTTCCTCCTCTTCACCGCAGAAGAACAGAATAAAGAGAAGGGAAAAAAATACAATAAACAGTTGAATAGGCTCAATCTTACCCAGGAATAAGACAACTTATACAGTAACACTATCAAATCATTTCATCAAAATTAAAACTTGTGATGGAATAATCTCATCCAGGCTAGGATTGATGTTGGTGGCTTCATGTTTAAAGCTTCCAAAATAGAGCAATTCATCCTTCGACATCCAGCAGATATCAAACATGTGAGTAAATTAAACCTTATCTATTCTCTATGACACGATTGTTGGTTAGTAGTTTTACACGAGTCAATATACCATGTTTCTAAAATGGCTATATAACGGAGCCCTGCATTGAGCATATTGTTTATGCCACAATAATATTGACCAACAGAAATCAACCAATGAGAATGATATGCTTCTAAGGCATGCTTGTGGACTAAGCTATCCAGAACCAATGGTTATATTTGCTCTTTGCCGAGGCAGCTGGTCTTCACCAGCGGTAAGTGCAGTATAATGATATTACGCAACATTTAACAAGTTATAGTCACAATCTATGCAGCTAAAGTTGGCATTTGCAGTTAAGGTATTACACACCAGATGAAGTCATGAATGAATTAGAGAAAGCTAAGGTAGAGTATTTGGAAGCTTCAATTGGAATTACAAGCAGGAAAAAGATTTTGGTGCCAAAGCTCATGCAATGGCACATGAAAGACTTTGCTGACGATATGGAATCTCTTTTAGAATGGATTTACAGCCAATTGCCATATACAAGCTCACTGAAAAGACTGATAATGGAATGTCTAAATGGACAGACTCAATCTCCATCACAAAAGCTGGTAGAAATTCAGCCTTATGCCCCTGAATTTCGCTACTTGATTCCAGTATAATCAAAAGATGATGAACCCCACAGAAGATATGAAAATCGACACGAATGTGAAATGTTGGACATTTTCTAAGATAATGCACGATGTGATAATTGTCACTTGTCAGTGTACATCCTTCTAGCTCAGAGATTGTAATGGTGAATAAAAGAATAGATGTTGTTTGGTTCTTGACTACTGTACAAGGAATTCTAATTTGATGAATAGACACTAACTTTTCTAAGTATGAATGAGACTCAGCAAATTAGCTCTCCAATAAAGGGAGTTACAATAAGATCAACACCAAAAGAATAAGGAAAAACGTTACTTTCCATACAACAATACCCAAACCTTTATCCCCTCCTTCCCCCCCCCCCCCCCCCCC